CAATATTAAACACCGATAATGACCCTGAAACCTACAAGCACAGTTCTACTTCAACTCACAAACCTCCGGCACTTTCTTCATAATTTACAATACCTTGCTGATGCTCTAATCACGTTTTGTGTTCAGAATATACAGAGTCCTTCATGTCCGACGATAGTAATGGCGAGAATAATTTCATATATTTGATTAGCTTATTTATATAAACCAAACAACAATGTATTCCGAATTGGTTTCTCTGGAACTGGGAGAGAAAGCTTAATATATTCTTGTCATCACTGTTAACGTCCGCCAATAAAATGAATTCAAAAGAAATGAATTTTTAAAGCCATCGAGCACAGTTGTGTTTATTAAAATTTGCGCATCACGGAAAATTTGTATAGCGTAATTTTGGGAAAACTTTGCTTCGACGCGTAATGACGCAAAGCCAGCGACGCGCGCAGAGAGGTTGGATCAAGGTAGAAAATTGCTTTGGTCGACATCATTCAAACGACTGACTCGCTCTGGCCATGACATAGCCATACCTGGACGAGGCAAGAGCGCCTGGCTCTCACTACAAGGAACGTGTCTGCCAGTATCCTTATAAGTAAGCTCCGGCAAGTTTTTTAAGAGGGCGGGTAAACAATAGCTACGGCCCCTTCCCCGTAGTGTTTGGTCCACCTATCTCCTCCCAGTACTGACACACCACCCCCACTCCTCCCAGTACAGTCCCACACACGGCCACCCCCAGCGACGCATGCACCACAGCAGAAAAATGCTTCGGCTGAACAACTACCACCTTACCTTGAGGTGCTTCCGGGGCTTAGCGTCCCCGCGGCCCGGTCGTTGACCAGGCCTCCTACCATCCAGGTCTCTTACCGACCAGACCAACACCCATCTTCGAAAGGGTTTATTCCCCCAGGTATCTAGCCATGGCGAATGTCGTATTGGACACCCAAGTAGCTCTTTGAAGAGGAATATTTCGCGTATGGTTGTTGTCTCAACAGTGGGGGTAAAGTTTGTTTCCGGTGCATTACTTCGTTCCCGCGTCCAGGTTCCCGCTGGGACCACCAACCCCTGACCATCCAGGAAGAACCAACAAGTCGAAGACAACACCCTTCTTAGTATTATTTCACCAGAACATCTTATTCAATCAAAACAACGCCAGAATTTGTTACACTTTTAAAATCAGCTCCCCCCCCCCTCCGCCTCTCTCAAGCAACAGCTAGTCACTAAAACTCGAAACATCAATGATGCTCTAGGAACGAACTTTTCTATGACGTAATTTCTGGTTGTTTGGCATTGTATGCCTTATCGTCCCACAAAAGAGGAGACACGCCTCTAACATCTTCAGAAAATATAGTTATAAATGAATTTCACGGTGAAGATAACCAGATCCAACTTTACCCTTCAAGGCCTGTCATCGTACAGGTCATGGTTCGACTCTCCACGAGTTGAAGTTAATGAATATACAGTTTACATCAGCAGGGAGGCGGGGTTGCTACTGTATACGGTTCTGGCAGTCCAGGTTATACAACGCACCTTGCATGGCTCATGAGCCACTTCCAGCCCACCACTTCAGTTTTTCCCTAACTAATAAAATGAACAGTACAAACTTCTATAGTTGCTCAGAGCGGCAATCTTTGTACTATGGTGCACATAGTTTCAAAAACTACTATCTAAACATGAGAATGGCTGAAAGTGAGAGTGAGAAAGAGAGAGAGAGTGGGGGGGGGGAGAAGATATTGCATTCACCTTGGTCCTCTGGACATTGAACTCCGACCCATTTACTTGCAGGCCGAAACTCTTGACTAAGACCACTGCAAACACAAGATTAAGGAGGGTTGGGGGGAGGGAAATTGTGCCCAAAGTGCGCAATTAGAACTCCTGGAGGTTCAGTAAATTAAGCCCGCATCATTCCATACCCAAAGTCTATATAACCTGTAAAGCGCTTTATTGTCTAAATCAGCTTTTGTAACCACCTCCTTATAACTTGCCGGAGCTCGAGTACTTGAGAGCAGGACTACACCAGTCCCGCTCCTCCCAGGCCGCTCTTGCTTGAGAGTAAACATGTTTATCCATCTGGTCCCTCATTCCCTCATTCATTATGATTATTTGTAGGAACAATGAAGTGAAATAGAAAAGTTATTTGATTTTTTTTTTAACTGACTTGATATGTTTTAAGTGCGATAACACGATAAAAGGCTTTTAGTTCTCCAAGTAATTGATAAATGGCAACTGGTTTGTCATGTCATACACACTAAATTCAGCGATTAATGCAACACTGAGACGGAAAGACGGAGAACAATTGATGAACAATACCACATCCGCATGTCAACCCGTGCGACTTAGTTACAAAAATAAAATCGGATGAAGTTATTCCTGTGCCAACATCGTTCAATAAAACAAATATGGTAGTTTTTATCCTCGAATATCTGACCAATCCCATCGTGTTGCCTGCTACTCTCGACTACTAAAACCACACCATACCCGGCCCCTTTTCTACACCGCACCATAGTCCCAACCTTACCATTGCCGTGTGTTGTGGTGTAGTGGTTATGGCACCTACACCTACACCTCGTAAGCTAAACCTTCCCGGGTTCGCACCCCTGGGGTTGGATTTGACGAGTGAACACAACTTCTCCAACTGTTTGCCACTGTGCAATCAACAGTACTTAGGATATATCACGACTGGCGGATGGTGTTGAGGAGAAAATTTGACATATCCCTTAAAGTCTAGTGAGCAGAGGGCGGGCCAACCACAGGTAAGAGGCCTCCCATACATTGTAACTCTGCAATTGCTGTGTCCAACACTTGGTTACTCTCATCAGCTACTACTGCTACTAGACCACAGCTACCACCTGCCATGTTTACCACTAGACCACTACCACCACCTGCCATGTTTACCACTAGACCACCACCACCACCTGCCATGTTTACCACTAGACCACCACCACCACCTGCCATGTTTACCACTAGACCACCACCACCACCTGCCATCTCCACCACTAGACCACCACCACCACCTGCCATGTTTACCACTAGACCACCACCACCACCTGCCATCTCCACCACTAGACCACTACCACCACCTGCCATCTCCACCACTAGACCACCTCCACCTGCCATCTCCACCACTAGACCACCACCACCTTCCACCTCTCTCACTAAACCACGTCAATCACACTCACAGAGCTAATATAGGCCTTCTCCGGTTACCTTAAGGTGATTCCGGGGCTCAGCGACCCCGCGGCCCGGTCACGAGACCCATTAAGGTAACACTGACAACGGTCGACTCTCTACTCTCAAGAGATCCACTGCGGTAACAACGACGGGGTTCCCACCTATTTAAAACGACTTTAAAGTAACTATTTCGAACAAATGCGAGTAGACGCAACTGAGTAGCACGAGAAATTGAATGAGCGTAACACATTGATATTTTATTTATGGAATTCTTAAGATTTAATTGATAAAACATGATTGAAGTTAGTGCGTGTAGATGAATAAGGATTGGATGGGATGCGCAGCCTCTGGAGTATTACACGTGCTGTCCTTATAGGGGGCGTGACCCCAGGTGGTGTGTGGGAGGGTCCTGTCTCGTTGATGCTGTGTCAACATGTATCCTCCTCACCTCTCCATACGTTATCAAATTACACCCATGTAAACGTTTACTGTCTGATTAAGACACATGTAATATTCCAATACAGACTCACGTATTAACTCGACTATTTGTTCACTTAGTATCTGCCCATTTTGAAAGCCGTAATGGTCCCTACTTGGGTACATGTAGCGTTTATTCAATCAGATACAGTGATGTGGTCCGAAATAGCTGGTCATCTCCATCTCTTGAACAGTCTACAGCTGCACCGAATAATGCAAATGCATATAAATTGCAAGCAACACAACATGAAGGTAGCAGGTGGCGTGCACGGCCCACACAGCGCAGACACAACCACCAACACCTCCACAGCACCTCCACTGACTTGTACAAAAATGTGCTCACCAAATAGCACATCAAGCTTGAAGGTTCAATTTTCTACGAGTACGATGTTATGTACTGTACTTACTTCCTGAATTGCACATGCTTAGCCTTTAGGGTGGCGAGTAATTGCAGCAACAAACATTTGTGCTACGCAAGATCGCGTATAAACATGACATATCTTAACGATGTTCAAGAAGCAGCAACCGTAATATGCTGTGTGAGTTCTGCAGTTGTCAACTGCTTATTGTCACCTGACTTGGTTTATTAGCTGCACATAATTAGACTCAGACCAAAATGTTGCCATCACCAGGAAGGCTGGATAGTAGCAGTGGCAAGAGATGCCAATAACAAGGACAACAAGATGGCATGAAAGGCTTTAAGAAATCAACACTGACACGGACTTGGCCCAAAAGCCAACCTGTCCGTTTTCAGGAGGTCACCGTCGGACGTTGATCTTCTCCAGAGTCTAAAGAAGAGCGCTCCTCTACTGGAGTTAAACCAGCAGTTCTACCTACAATATCTGCTTCTTCAGGGGAGGAATTTGGTGTGGCTGAAGGTGTAAACACGGACGACCCTAACTGAGTATTGCTACCTGAGGCGGCTATTTCTTCACATTCATCAAATGATTCATCAGAAATACGCACGCTTTTCTTTCGGATTCTTGGAATATCAGATGCCCTTCGGCCAGTGTCGGGCTGTGGCGGGGACAGTGGCGAGGCGCCTAAACTGAGTGTGTGACGCACCATGGAGGCCCCGGCAGAGCCCGTCACAGCTACCGGAAGGGCGCTGCCTAAAGAACTTTGCCGTAACGACGAGAGTCGACGCCGGTTGCCGAAGGCTGCTAGCTGTTGTTCACGAGACATGTAAGAGACGGTTGAGTGTGAGCGCTGGGAGCGTGGCGTCGCCCCCGTCTCCTCCCCGTCTTCGCTGGTGAAGAGGTCCGTCGTTTTGCGCGGGAAGTCGATAGACCTGCGGGGGAAGGACGGCACAGACTCCTTGGGGAAGCAGGAACTGAGAGAGGACGCAGCTGCCGGCTTCTTACCCTGACGTACAAACATCTGGTTGACGTCGAGAAGTATATCGCAGCCCTCCACTATCATCCGCTCGATGGCCAGATTCTTCCTGATGTTTTCAGTGTCGCTCACCTGCAATATGATTGATGTGTCGAAGTTACAAACATTTATCAGTAGCCTGCTAACATGTGGCTCAGTTTAAGCACTTGCTAGGACCTACGAGCATATCATAAATTAACTAATATTTGCATCAAAGCCTACCTGCAAAAAAAAGTAGTGTTGAATCATAAACATGCATAGTTTAGCAAGTTTTACATGTTTCCAAAGTGTGGTAAATTATTACCTAACAGCGGTTTATGTACAATTTTCTTATTAATCTAAATTCAAATGCACAAAGAACTGTATCATTAGTTCAACTTGGTCCCCATGCCATCGGAGACGACTGGCTCCAGGGGCAAATGTCCGCGGAGCTTTCCCAAGGATGCGGAATATAGGCTCCTAGACACAACAGTCCTCTCCTGGTAACCCCATAACCTGTGACACCCGAGGTCAGAGAAGCGGGTGTCCGTGGGTGGAGGGAAGAGAGGGCGTGACCACCTCCAACCTCCATCCACTAGACCACCACCACCTGCCATCTCCACCACCAGGTTGAGTAGCGTACCTCGTCGTGCATCTGGCGGGAGAGGTCCTCGAGCTGCATCCTAGCGTGGTCGAGGCTCTTCCTCTCCACGTGGTTGTGGGGCGTGTGGGCCAGGAGCTCGTGTAGAGTGATGATGTACCGCGGGATCTGCAACACAAGCACACTCTTACTCTTCAAAGCCAATCCGGTAGTGATTACACACCGAGGGATTGTATACAATCACACTCTTATTCCTCAATCGAATGAAACGTTCGCCTATTGTAGGTGCTACCAGGGAGGAAGTTATTACATAAACAGCAAACTAAAGCCAAACAAGTCCCCCAGGATCTGACAAGATACTTGCTCGGCTCCTTAGAAAATGTTAAGAGCTTAGCGAGTCGTTGTATTGCATAAATCCTTCAAGTCGAGCATATTACCGGAATCCTGGACGGTTACTACTCTGACGCCCATTTTTAACAGCTAAGGAAGATAACGTGCGCCCAAACCATCAAGCTATATAAATTAATAGCTATTATAGCTATACAATTATTGAAACTATAGATTCCAATATAGTTTACATTTTGAAAAACATAGCTTGAAAAAAGTATTGACACGGTTTAACAAAGGGGCCGCAGTTAATAGTGAAGAGGCTCCCGTTATCTTGAGGTTATCTTGAGATGATTTCGGGGCTTAGCGTCCCCGCGGCCCGGTCCTCGACCAGGCCTCCATTTTGTTGCACATCCCGGGCCAGGAAACTGCCGTAGCAGCTGTCTAACTCACAGGTATACATATATATATATATATTTACTGCTAGGTGAACAGAGAGCATCAGGGTTGAAAGAAACTGCCCATTTGTTTCCGGGATCGAATCCGGAATCGTAGGACTACGAATTCCGAGCGCTGTCCACTCAGCCGTCAGGCTCCCTGACAGGCTGTATCTAAGCCTCCGATGCTATGCCTTAGGAACGGCTCGGTAGAAAGGTAGGTACTCAGAGGCTCCGGTTATTTAGATTTAGACACACAATTGAAAAATAATATTGCAGATCTACCGCCAATACTAAAATTGAGCGGAAATGTATTCAGAAAACTCAACATCGCAACAATACGATTTTGGTTGCTAGGCTTTTATTGACGTGTGACCCGTGATACATACTAATATCCGTGACACACACACACACACACACACACACACACACACACACACACACACACACACACACACACACACACACACACACACACACACACACACACACACACACACACACACACACACACATACACACACAAGAAATATAAGAAAATTCACCTTCGCAAATAGAGTGGTAGACGGTTGGAACAAGTTAAGTGAGAAGGTGGTGGAGGCCAAGACCGTCAGTAGTTTCAAAGCGTTATATGACAAAGAGTGCTGGGAAGACGGGACACCACGAGCGTAGCTCTCATCCTGTAACTACACTTAGGTAATTACACTTAGGTAATTACACACACACACACACACACACACACACACACACACACACACACACACACACACACACACACACACACACACACACACACACTGGTACACGTGACAGATACTGATCACGTGGTACACATACTGATACACAAGATACATACTAATCATTTTAAGTACATAGATATACATAATACATACTGACAGGGGATATTTACTGGCACACATGGCACGTAATGAAAAACGTGATACATGTTGACACACACGTGACACTATCTGTAGCGTAATACACACTGGCACATGTGATAGATACAAGATACATACTGATACACGTGATATATTAACAGGTGATACATACTGACATACGTGACATATTATGACGCACATAATACATACTGACACCCCGGATACATACTAACTTATGACACAGTGACACGTGATTACCCATGCCGGGTATCGAGTCGTGTGAGTACCGAGAGAGTGAGCGGTTTTGATGTTCGTGGCGGGAAGAAGTTATATTGTGACGTTCAAGTTAAAGTCCCGACACGAAGAGTCAGACACAGTGGTGTGGGACAGACACGAGTTGATTTATAGAGTAGTACTCTGTCTGTCTGTCTGTCTCGCAGGCGTGCGACACAGCTGTATGATATCTTAACATGTGTTAATCATGCTAAACGTGCATGACAAGGCTACCTGTCATGTTTTATTCCACTCACATACACCTTCATATTGTCATAAGAGGCCGTACATTTGCTTTCTTAATGATTGATTTACATCAACTGTCATTAGATGCACTCCTTGGTAGTCCGGACCTCTGTAATGTATCCAAGTTTATGTGTTTCTGTTCTAATATCAGCATGTTGAGTCATATATAAATATCTCGCTACTACTTGATACTAGAATGGTGTTATATAGCCATACTGGCTTACCACCTGACATGTGTAATATTACAGATTAAAATCATCGAATAACATTCTATAAGACGTTTATTATATTCACGAAATTTGACATGACTGATGAGAGAAAGAGGAGAGGCTGACCTGGTGCATAGGATAGGTGAGGAATGTTTCCAGAGTCCGCCCCTGCAGGTTGGGTTTGTTCTCCAGGCGGCTGAGGAAGGCCCCGAAGTGCGGGTTCTGTTTACACTCGGCCAGCACCTGGAGGCTGTAGTGGTGGTTCCTGACGTACTCCTGGTAGATGCTCAGCATCGGCAGCAGCATGTCGAACAAGTCTCCTGCTCGGTGGTATATTATATTAGGGGGTATAGTGCCCATGCCCCACCGCGGGTAGGGGGGAGGGCAGGGGGAAGGGGGGGGGGGGGGGGAAACGCCTCCCCCACCTCCGGGGGAGGTGGGGGAGGGAAGACTGCCTGCTGGGTACCAATGCAGGTCATAAATCAAATTAAACAAAGAGTTGAGCAGATTAATAAAGGGGGTTGCGTGACTTGGGTAAGGAGCTTGGGATAGTCTACTTAGTAAAGCAGCAGGACGGGAAATAGCTGGTCCTAGTTCTGAAAGATCGTATAATAGAAGTCTCTTTGATACTTTCTAAATACTGTTAGAGGCAGCAAGCGGAAGGAGGAAGAGGAGACAGTGTGTTGACCGCTCCTACTGTTAGAGGCAGCAAGCGACAGTGTGTTGACCGCTCCTACTGTTAGAGGCAGCAAGCGGAAGGAGGAGGAGACAGTGTGTTGACCGCTCCTCCTCAGTGGCGACACCCGGCCAAAAACAGCAACAAAAAAGTAATGCAAAAAAGTGAATTAAGGAAAGAAAATAGCTTCAATAAAATGCAAAATTATAAAACCAATTGGCGTAGTTTGCGGCATTACCAAAGCAGAACTAAGGGTTAGCACCATACTAGAGGGGCAGAGAGAGGGGAGCGGCTGGAGCACGATACTGGAGAGGAAGAGACAGGTGGGGCAGAGAGAGGGAAGCGCCTGGAGCACCATACTGGAGAGGAAGAGACAGGAGGGGCAGAGAGAGGGGAGCGGCTGGAGCACCATACTGGACAGGAAGAGACAGGTGGGGCAGAGAGAGGGAAGCGCCTGGAGCACCATACTGGAGAGGAAGAGACAGGAGGGGCAGAGAGAGGGGAGCGGCTGGAGCACGATACTGGAGAGGAAGAGACAGGTGGGGCAGAGAGAGGGGAGCGGCTGGAGCACGATACTGGGCAGGAAGAGACAGGTGTGGCAGAGAGAGGGAAGCGCCTGGAGCACGATACTGGAGAGGAAGAGACAGGAGTGGCAGAGAGAGGGAAGCGGCTGGAGCACGATACTGGAGAGGAAGAGACAGGAGGGGCAGAGAGAGGGGAGCGGCTGGAGCACCATACTGGACAGGAAGAGACAGGTGGGGCAGAGAGAGGGAAGCGGCTGGAGCACGATACTGGAGAGGAAGAGACAGGAGGGGCAGAGAGAGGGGAGCGGCTGGAGCACGATACTGGAGAGGAAGAGACAGGTGGGGCAGAGAGAGGGGAGCGGCTGGAGCACGATACTGGAGAGGAAGAGACAGGAGGGGCAGAGAGAGGGGAGCGGCTGGAGCACGATACTGGTGAGGAAGAGACAGGTGGGGCAGAGAGAGGGAAGCGCCTGGAGCACGATACTGGAGAGGAAGAGACAGGAGGGGCAGAGAGAGGGGAGCGGCTGGAGCACGATACTGGGCAGGAAGAGACAGGTGGGGCAGAGAGAGGGAAGCGCCTGGAGCACGATACTGGAGAGGAAGAGACAGGAGGGGCAGAGAGAGGGGAGCGGCTGGAGCACCATACTGGAGAGGAAGAGACAGGAGGGGCAGAGAGAGGGGAGCGGCTGGAGCACCATACTGGAGAGGAAGAGACAGGAGGGGCAGAGAGAGGGGAGCGGCTGGAGCACCATACTGGAGAGGAAGAGACAGGAGGGGCAGAGAGAGGGGAGCGGCTGGAGCACCATACTGGAGAGGAAGAGACAGGAGGGGCAGAGAGAGGGGAGCGGCTGGAGCACGATACTGGGCAGGAAGAGACAGGTGGGGCAGAGAGAGGGAAGCGCCTGGAGCACGATACTGGAGAGGAAGAGACAGGAGGGGCAGAGAGAGGGGAGCGGCTGGAGCACGATACTGGAGAGGAAGAGACAGGAGGGGCAGAGAGAGGGGAGCGGCTGGAGCACGATACTGGAGAGGAAGAGACAGGTGGGGCAGAGAGAGGGAAGCGCCTGGAGCACGATACTGGAGAGGAAGAGACAGGAGGGGCAGAGAGAGGGGAGCGGCTGGAGCACCATACTGGAGAGGAAGAGACAGGAGGGGCAGAGAGAGGGGAGCGGCTGGAGCACCATACTGGAGAGGAAGAGACAGGTGAGCTGGTAAATATTGGCTCAGTAAAGAATCAGGAACAGGTCAACAGGTATGGAACAACACTGTGGAGGAAGAACAACGACAGTGGTTTAGTAGTTAGTGAGTAGTGGTGGTGGTGAGTGTTGGAGTGGTGGTGGTGGTGAGTGTAGGAGTGGTGGTGGTGGTGAGTGTAGGAGTGGTGGTGGTGGTGAGTGTTGGAGTGGTGGTGGTGGTGAGTGTAGGAGTGGTGGTGGTGGTGGTGGTGGTGAGTGTAGTGGTGGTGGTGGTGTGAGGAGTGGTGGTGGTGAGTGTAGGAGTGGTGGTGGTGGTGAGTGTAGGAGTGGTGGTGGTGGTGGTGGTGAGTGTAGGAGTGGTGGTGGTGATTGTAGGAGTGGTGGTGGTGGTGTGTAGGAGTGGTGGTGGTGGTGGTGAGTGTAGGAGTGGTGGTGGTGGTGAGTGTAGGAGTGGTGGTGGTGGTGGTGGTGAGTGTAGGAGTGAGTGTAGGAGTGGTGGTGGTGGTGGTGAGTGTAGGAGTGGTGGTGGTGGTGAGTGTAGGAGTGGTGGTGGTGGTGAGTGTAGGAGTGGTGGTGGTGGTGAGTGTAGGAGTGGTGGTGGTGGTGGTGAGTGTAGGAGTGGTGGTGGTGGTGAGTGTAGGAGTGGTGGTGGGTAGGAGTGTGGTGGTGGTGGTGTGGTGAGTGTAGGAGTGGTGGTGGTGGTGGTGAGTGTAGGAGTGGTGGTGGTGGTGAGTGTAGGAGTGGTGGTGGTGGTGGTGGTGAGTGTAGGAGTGGTGGTGGTGGTGAGTGTAGGAGTGGTGGTGGTGGTGGTGGTGAGTGTAGGAGTGGTGGTGGTGGTGGTGGTGAGTGTAGGAGTGGTGGTGGTGGTGAGTGTAGGAGTGGTGGTGGTGGTGGTGAGTGTAGGACTGGTGGTGGTGGTGGTGGTGAGTGTAGGAGTGGTGGTGGTGATTGTAGGAGTGGTGGTGGTGAGTGTAGGAGTGGTGGTGGTGAGTGTAGGAGTGGTGGTGGTGGTGGTGGTGAGTGTAGGAGTGGTGGTGGTGATTGTAGGAGTGGTGGTGGTGAGTGTAGGAGTGGTGGTGGTGGTGGTGGTGATTGTAGGAGTGGTGGTGGTGGTGGTGGTGGTGAGTGTAGGAGTGGTGGTGGTGGTGGTGGTGGTGAGTGTAAGAGGGGTGGTGGTGGTGGTGGTGAGTGTAGGAGTGGTGGTGGTGGTGGTGAGTGTAGCAGTGGTGGTGGTGAGTGTAGGAGTGGTGGTGGTGGTGGTGAGTGTAGGAGTGGTGGTGGTGAGTGTAGGAGTGGTGGTGGTGGTGGTGAGTGTAGGAGTGGTGGTGGTGGTGGTGGTGGTGGTGGTGAGTGTAGGAGTGGTGGTGGTGGTAGTGAGTGCAGGAGTGGTGGTGGTGGTAAGTGTAGGAGTGGTAGTGGTGGTGGTGAGTGTAGGAGTGGTGGTGGTGGAGGTGAGTGTAGGAGTGGTGGTGGTGGTGGTGGTGGTGAGTGTAAGAGTGGTGGTGGTAGTGAGTGTAGGAGTGGTGGTGGTGGTGGTGGTGGTGGTGAGTGTAGGAGTGGTGGTGGTGGTGGTGGTGGTGGTGGTGGTGGTGAGTGTAGGAGTGGTGGTGGTGGTGGTGGTGGTGAGTGTAGGAGTGGTGGTGGTGGTGGTGGTGTGTGTAGGAGTGGTGGTGGTGGTGGTGGTGAGTGTAGGAGTGGTGGTGGTGGTGGTAGGGTGGTGGTGGTGGTGGTGAGTGTAGGAGTGGTGGTGGTGGTGGTGGTGGTGAGTGTAGGAGTGGTGGTGGTGGTGGTGGTGGTGAGTGTAGGAGTGGTGGTGGTGGTGGTGAGTGTAGGAGTGGTGGTGGTGGTGGTGGTGGTGAGTGTAGGAGTGGTGGTGGTGGTGGTGGTGGTGGTGAGTGTAGGAGTGGTGGTGGTGGTGGTGGTGGTGAGTGTAGGAGTGGTAGTGGTGATGGTGGTGAGTGTAGGAGTGGTGGTGGTGGTGTGTAGGAGTGGTGGTGGTAGTGGTGGTGGTGGTGAGTGTAGGAGTGGTAGAGGTAGTGGTGGTGGTGGTGAGTGAAGGAGTGGTGGTGGTAGTGGTGGTGGTGAGTGTAGGAGTGGTGGTGGTGAGTGTAGGAGTGGTGGTGGTGAGTGTAGGAGTGGTGGTGGTAGTGGTGGTGGTGGTGGTGGTGAGTGTAGGAGTGGTGGTGGTGAGTGTAGGAGTGGTGGTGGTAGTGGTGGTGGTGAGTGTAGGAGTGGTGGTGGTGGTGGTGAGTGTAGGAGTGTGGTGGTGGTGGGTGGTGGTGGTGAGTGTAGGAGTGCTGGTGGTAGTGGTGGTGGTGGTGGTGGTGAGTGTAGGAGTGGTGGTGGTGAGTGTAGGAGTGGTGGTGGTGGTGGTGAGTGTAGGAGTGGTGGTGGTGGTGGTGGTGGTGAGTGTAGGAGTGGTGGTGGTGGTAGTGAGTGCAGGAGTGGTGGTGGTGGTAAGTGTAGGAGTGGTAGTGGTGGTGGTGAGTGTAGGAGTGGTGGTGGTGGAGGTGAGTGTAGGAGTGGTGGTGGTGGTGGTGGTGGTGAGTGTAAGAGTGGTGGTGGTAGTGAGTGTAGGAGTGGTGGTGGTGGTGGTGATGGTGAGTGTAGGAGTGGTGGTGGTGGTGGTGGTGGTGGTGGTGGTGGTGAGTGTAGGAGTGGTGGTGGTGGTGGTGGTGGTGAGTGTAGGAGTGGTGGTGGTGGTGGTGGTGAGTGTAGGAGTGGTGGTGGTGGTGGTGGTGAGTGTAGGAGTGGTGGTGGTGGTGGTGTGTGTTGGTGTGGTGGTGGTGGTGAGTGTAGGAGTGGTGGTGGTGGTGGTGGTGGTGGTGGTGAGTGTAGGAGTGGTGGTGGTGGTGGTGGTGGTGAGTGTAGGAGTGGTGGTGGTGGTGGTGAGTGTAGGAGTGGTGGTGGTGGTGGTGGTGGTG